AAAAAAATGCAAAATTTTGAACCAGAAATGTGTTCACTAAACTAATACTACAACAAAAATATACTAACGGAAATAAAGCTAACAAAAAACATACCAAAAAAATATTAAAACAACAAAAACAAAAACAAATCAAACAGCAGCAAAAGTAAACCCTTAAATGTGACTAAGCCGGGAGGCGACTTTATTTTAGTAGCCGCTTTTTGGTAAAAAACCACCTCTAGACTTTAGATAAATACTTACATACTATATACTTTATACTTAACTAACAAAAGTGCAACTTTACTGTAAAAATAAAATTAACTTAAAATAAATACGCAACACTATGTACTACATACACACTATATCTATCCCCAACTATCTACCTTGCGCAAGAAAAAACAGCCTCAGCCCTCTTTCTGTTTTTTAGCACCAATACTGACTCAGCTTTATTTTAAGTATTTGAACTTCAGAAAAAAAAAGAATCTACCTAATTGTGCTAAGCAAAAATGTTGAAGAGTAACTACTTTATATATTATCTACACTTGATAGATAGTAATTTAACTATTGTATGCCTACTATTATTAAAAAATACTATTGTAAAAAAAACGCTGCTACTAACACACTTACACACATGCAAACATACATACACATACATAAATACATATGTAAATATATATGTATAAAGTACGTGCATTCATTTGTAGTATATATATGTACGCGAAGATGAACTATTGTTAAATTTTTACCGCAGATTTAATAACGTTAAGTGTGATGATGATCATTGGAACACACACACACACACCAATGCAGCATGGAAACAACATATGTACATACATACACGCATGCATATAGGGCACACTCATGCATACATATGTACATACATGCCAACCTTGAAAAAAAAAAGTGGAACTGCATACAAAAATATACCCTTATAAGGCATGACATTATAAATTAAACTAATCTTATGTAAAATGTTATTTACCACAACAACAACACTTTGACATGAAACTAAAAATGAAAACCAATGATGATTAGTTGAACAGAATTGCAATAAAAAGCTACAAATTAAAAAGAAACAGAAATAACATAAAATGAAATGTATTATATTTAAGTGAGAGTTCCATAAATAACTACATACATACATAAATAGGGCGACATGAATGATGTGTCACAATAATTGCTGATTGTAGATGACGATTTCGACCTTTAACCCTAGAGCACACGCCTCCACCATCGCATACATACCCCAACAGGCATACATAACATTACCTTCTGTGAGTACTAAACGTTAAATAGGCAGGAAAGTTAGGCAAGAATTAAAAGAAAAGTAATGAAAAACGTATTCGAAACTAAAATAATAATCACAGAAATAAATAGCACTGTATTGTTTAAGCTGAAGAAAACTGAGTACAGGCTAGTTAAAATACTTACACAAAAAAAAAAACCCCGAGACCCACTTAACGGTTTATGTAAGTATGTATGTACGTAATAAAAACACCTAACGAGTATTAACTAAAAAAAAAA